TAAATCCCACAATAAGTTCTGAAAACCCATTAGTGAAAGCAAAGAATTATATGCTATAATATGTCCACCACACTATATATATATATGCCATATCCAGTGCTGACGAGGCCTTTAGTTGAATACCAGGGGCCGGCAGGGAGTTACAGACATAGTAGTGGTCTAGATGTTATATATATATCATTTGTTTTCATGATCAACGATTGTTGTGATGTAAACTAGATTAAGCAAGTGAATTGTACTTATTATCAATTATATTTTGTCATTTACAAATGTTAGTTTAAGAAATGTTTTAATAACAATAAAATACCAAATTAATCCCAACAAAGTAAACTAATAGCACTTCAATATGTCAAAACTAACTGTTTTGCAGATGAGTTTTGTTGTTTACTTTATAGCTAAGTTATATTGGGCTATCTGCTATGTCCACTGCGAAAAATCGAACACGGATTTTAGCTGTGTTACAAATCAGAAAAATAATGAAGAAATTGTCTTTAAAAGAACACTTCCGTGAATCTTAATGCATCAAATAAAGTAATATACAGTAGATAGGTAGATAAAGATAGATAGAGAATCATACTTTAATATCTGTACTTAAGATATAAATTCAAGAATACCTACGAGCTTGTCCTATTGTGCTGTTAAAAACAATGGTCTGTCGGAGCATATAGTTTTTTCCATGACCTACGGTCATTGTCATTTTCAGCAAAAAATATTAGAGGTGTCAGAAACGAGGCAGTACCACCTTGAAACGCAAAAAGATAAAGTCACAGAGGTTGGAACATTGCTCTAGATAAAGTAGGTCGCGTGTGGGTTTTGTAGTTATTGTTCAGAGAAGAAAGTTCGAGGAACTCTCAGCAGTGTAAAGTAGTTCAAGCAAGTAGCCAAACTTTACGCTGTGCAACATCAGTGCGACTATGTATGTAGGACACAGTACAAAGGAATGAGTTTTATATCCAGAATATTAGTTTGATGGGTCAATGATACAGCGTAACCCATGTTAGAAATTACTAAAAACACCCATCCTTTCTCGTGGTATGAAAATAGATCTCTGTTTATAGAAGATTTGGCCTAGTAATAACCCAAAGAGTTCTGGCAGTGAACTTGAAATATGTTGTTACTATTTATAATGGCCTTCATAATATGTTAAATTGAAGGTAGGGTACTTATTATGATCGTATGGAAACACATATATACTTACTTCAATATTTTTTTATGCTTATATCAATTTTGGCTATAAGTACACACCATGTAGCGTAAGGTAATTAACTTTATATGCATAATAAACGTTTCACACGTCATCCTGGACACAATGTTTAATGATGTAATATTTTTAGCAACGTTTGTCATAGCATATGTGATGTTACAGTGGTTACGAGTCCTATAATGCGATTAATGAAATTATTGAGTGAACGTAGTCGATCTGCATAATCATAACCTGGGACAGCTGTAAATCTTCGGAGTTACAACGCTACAATCAGGGGTTCGATTCCTCTCGGTGGACACAGCAGATAGCCTAATGTGGCTTTGCTGTAAAAAAACACATAACCTAAACAAAACTTACAAAAATTAAGTGTATGTGTTGAGAAAAGGTTAAGTCCTGTGATATAAGTATGCTGTGAATCTTAAAAATTTAATGCGCTAAGCGCATTTTTAAGACAACGTGTTCTATACTGTGTGCTACTTCCTTGTAATTTTTAAACAGTGAAACGCATTGAGATTTCTATTTTCTTTAGTTATACACACCACATGCAGTAAGTCTCTGCAACAAGTACTTTCTGAAATCATAACACTTTCAATCTGTTTATATATATACTCTGCATAATATTCATCCTAATATTTACTTTTTGTTTTTGATTCTTCATCTTAGGTATTAGTTAGATTGTATTCTGCTACTAATAAACATGTATCTGGATAGATACTGAAATCTCTTCAATTTATCGTTTCCAAATAGCAATTATTCGTGAAACAGGGAAACGGCATTCTGAGTTAACAACTATTACCTAAAAACACAAGAGAAAAAGATCGATAAATAAATGTAGTTTGACGAACACTAAATCACAGTCAATTTTAATTTTTAAGTGAATCTTAAAGCAATTAGCTAAATCTTGAACAAGTTAAATAAGAAAAATTATAAACAACGCATAATATATACATATATGTCACTATGTGTGTACGTGTTTGATGTAAGTAATTTTTAACTGCAATTACTTGTGCAAAAATGATATACAAGGTATAAATTTGTAGCTTCACTTACCAAAGTCATTTAATAATGTACCAAATGAGCTTAATGGTTCCACAAAATAAAAGGACGTAAAGTAGAAATAGAACGCAACAAAAACTACTACAGAGGTAAGGAAAATGCCCTTTACAAATAATCACTTCCTCATACTTCTAAAAGTTGGTTGTGTATTTAATCTCTGTTAATTAACCAACTCTTTCTAAATTCCAAATATAATTTTAAATAACTTAAGAGAAAAGACCAGGATCGGTATGAACATCTAGAAATGTACGGTAATTTGTAATATAATAAGCATCATCAACTAATTTTTTTCACAATATCATTGATAATAATCATATTCACTCCTAACTGGCTAGATTTACTTTTCGTATGTATATCTAAAATTCAAAAATAAATTAAAATACAAACACTAATTTTTTAAGCACTTAGATATAAAGTGTATTCTACTTAATGCACATAAAGCTGCTCAGAGGGTATTTGCATTTAATATAAACACTTGATTTTAATATTTCTAGATGTTCAGAGTATTTAGTAAATATATAAATTTGAAAGACCGTGCTAGGCATAACTTAAAACCCTAGGTTTACTCTTAACTATAAGTGTAGTCCCAGAAATAATTAAAATTTCTGTAAAAAAAATACTATCAAATTAATAACTTCCATAAACAAATGCACCACATGACGTGGAACAAACAAGCATAAAGTTATGACTAGCTTTAACCTTTATTCTACAAATAACCTTGTAGCTTATTGTACTGGCCAAGTAAAACCGCAGCTCGCTTTTCAAGAAATATTCTACCTTATAATGATGATGACAGCATAAAATAGCCATAAGTTTCCTTTATGAAATATACCAATGAGAAGTATTGTAAACCAGTATAAGCACTTTACACAACATAAAAGATTCGTTTGTTTATTTTTTAGAACAAAGCCACATTGAGCTATCTGCTGTGTTCACCGCGGAAATTCGAACCTCGGATTTTAGCGCTGTAAGTTCGTAGACTTACCACTGTCCCACTGGAGTACAACATAAAAGGAGACCTTCTGTAAATAACTATAAGCACTTTATACAACATAAAATACGAGACGTCCTGTAAACCAATACGATCACTTTATACAGGATAAAAGGTGAAAACTTCATGTTTGTACTAATAAACTACATCGTTATTTTCTACTAATATTAAATAATTAAACATCGATTATTTTTCAAACTTTCAGACACGTAAAATGCATGAAAAACAGCAAGAGCTTAAAGTAATCTAATTAATCATCCCCAAATAAAAAAACAACAACTGAAAAATGAATAGGAATTTAGAAAAGAGCTCCAATAAAATAATAAACGGAAATAGATATACGAATAAGTATACATATATAAATATAGAATAGAAGAGCTTACTTATAATTTTTATAAGTATCTTATTGAGAATCAGAAATGTTAAAAAAAGGAAACGGAAATGATAATAAGTATTAACAGATGACATGTTACTATTACCTATCTCTTCCCGTGTTAACTGAACTGTGAATATAACCAGCTGATAAGTTGTTCTTAGATCTTAGTGCTTCCTGTAAAATTATCCATATGTCCTTGAGACGTTGCTGTACTGATACAACATTATAAGCACTAACATTTCTGTTTAGACAACATTATTGTGTCTCGTTATCACAAGTACTGCTTTCTTCTCCCAAACAAGCTTTCAAATGAATGCTACATTCAGCATACGTCTAAACACATTTTAAAGTAAAGGAATTATAAACCTTCCATCAACTGCAAAATATTTGTGTCACTTCATGTTATTCGGACTGACTGCACATTAAATATATGTAATCTTTGTGAGATACAATTTTTAAGGAACAATACAGAGTATCTGTCAAAATGTGCGCACTACGTCATAGATGTTTTAAACCTGATTTTAGTAAAACTTTTCTTTGTTCATGCACTATTTTTTACTTTTATATTATTGACACTTGTGCACATGATAAGGAAACAAAGGCTGTGAGGATATAAACATGTTATATAAATATAGTACCGCCTTAACTTACTAGACTGCTCTTAAACTACTTCCATGTACAGTGAAGATGTTTAAAAAACGAACTTTTCTTAGTCCAAAACAAGAAAGAAAGGTTGAGAAATTTTATTACCCTAATTTTGGTTAGTTTCCACAAGACAAGCTCAGGTGTAACACTTTTTTTTTAAGCTAGATGATCTTGCCAGAAATTGTTCAAATTGGCAGTTTGTATGTGTTCCAATTTTTTAGTCAATGGAAGTCTTCAAGTAGGTCATGACAGTCTGTTAGTTGTTGTTCTATATAAAGGACCGGCTAACGTACTCGTGCTATCAGACAACCCCAGTTACCGGCTTTAACATATACTCTATAAAATATTCTGAGACGCGTGAGCAGCGACGAAGGAATTGGTAAAGTTTTGTGATATAACGCTTTCTTATATAATAATGTTCCGATTATTTCCTAGTTTGTATTCTATGTCTTTTCCAACAATAATCATTTATTTTAGGTAACAGCATTCTGAGATTCATTTTTATTTGATAACAAATAACAAAATATTGTGATGACCCGGAGCAACACATTTATATCAATCTATGTTTATTGATTTATAGGAATATTAACTTTTTTGATGTCTCTGAACTACAGATATTCTTTTTTTTTATAGAAAAACAAATTACCAAGTATTTATTTAATCACTTTCTTTATGTTATTGCGAAACGAATTGTTTAGTGTATTGTTTTCTCTCTAGATCTAACGATTATGAGGATATTAGTTTCTTGTGGACTACTGCTGTTAATAGTCTTCGTGAGAGCCGATGGCTACGGTGGGGGAGCTGGATGGGAGGACGACGTCTACCTTGTAAAGAAGATTAAAAAAATTGTTCCCGTTCCCCATCCTGTGCCTGTTCCCAAGATCATTCCTATTCCCAAGCTTGTGAAAGTTTTCAAACCTTTAGCTATAGGCCACCCCGTCAAAGTTCCGCACATCATCCATAAATTTCACCACATCCCCAAGGTTGTACCTGTTGGAAAAATCGTCCCTATCTACAAGTATATTCCCATTCCTACTCATGTTAGATATCCAGTACCAGTCAGAGTACCTAAGCCTTACGTTGTTCACGTTCCAAAACCATTCCCTGTAAAAAAGCATGTACCAGTGCATATTCCTGTAAAAATACCAAAACCTGTCGTCGTGCCTGTACACAAGGAAGTTCCGGTCCCTGTTCATGTGAAAGTTCCAGTTGAAGTTCCCATTGTGAAAAAAATCCCTTATTACGTCAAGAAGCCTGTACCGATCTAGTAAGTTGTCTATTATTGAAAGTTTAGTTCCTTATGTTATATATATATATATATATATATATATATATACTACATCAAAATAATCCCTCCAATTTGATTCTGTACATGTAAGTTGAAGAAACTAACAACGAAATTTCAGTCCAATACTCAGCTTAAGATATAATGCTTTATTTTAGGTAGAAAATATAAGTGATACGCAATATATTTTTATTTTATTATTAATAGAAGAGATAAAGTGTAGCCTGAATTTTTAGTGATTCCGAAAAGTTTGTCGTTCGCTTGATATGACTAAATATCATAAATATGGTATTATCTGTCAAACTGTCGCAATATATGTTCGTATAACACACTGACCTAATTCTATCTCTATAAACTGAGGCTTAACCGTAGTTTATAAGAACAATGTTCCACCTTCCATGCTCCACTTGGAAGTGCTTCCCCTATCGTCGATTGTCCTCATGTTACGATTGATATATATCTTGTCCAATAAGAATCGGTTTATTTTAGAGGACAACTTTTTATTAGAAATTTATTGAGGAACAGGTCAGATTTATTAGTATTTAAAATCAATTAAGAAAATCGGATCACAGCAATATCAACCACAATAATATCCATTGTAATAAGCTTGTAGGGTTGATGATGAGGTCAGTGGTAGATCTCACACAGTGACAGTCTTTTCACACATCCTCCACTGTACGCGGTCTTTGGCTTTCAAGACCATGTTCCAGTGGACCAGCTTCTTCTGCTACTATCTAATAAAAACAGCCGTTGAGTTTGGGGTATGGCAGGAACCTTGTAAGCTTTTGTCAACTTTAAATCTTTATTTATTACCTTATTAATTCAGACACTGCATTCTTTAATAATGTTTCTATACAAATAGCCCCCCCCCCCAGTGGCACAGCGGTATGTCTGCGGACTTACAACGCTATAAACTAGGTTTCGATACCCGTGGTGGGCAGAACACAGATAGCCCTTGTGTAGCTTTGTGCATAATTAAAAGCAAACAATTCTATACAAATACTTTTTCTTGGAAAATTATTTACGTACTCTCCAGCCCTAGGTCTAATCTGGCGACATTGAAGTGTCACATGGTCAGAAATATACATAGTTCACAGCTGTGGTGACAAGACACTGTATTAATATGTTAAAATCGTTTTTATAAATTACGTTTAACCGTATGTAATAACATACTAAAATACAATCTGATAAACAACACAAAAGAAGCTTTCAGACACATGTTTTAATACAACATTTCGTTTTACTTCTCACATTTCTGTCTTTCGTCAGGCTTAACTAACATAATATTATATGTAGAAGTGAAGCAAAAGTTTATCAAGAAAGTAACACAAAAATGAAATTATGACGTAGTTTAAAATTATCATTTATATTTTGTAGTTTCTTTTTAACAGCAGCATAATTAAGGTGTTGAAGTTAAGAAGTATTGAGAGCTGACACCCACTTTCTAGGGGATTTAACCTGTCAGCAGTGTTGTGTACCATTAATTTTAACAAGTAGAAAAATCTGATCTAAATATTTTGTCCAAAAGAAATGCTAATATTATGTTGTTGTTGTTTTCTATTTCCAGTGAGGAAGAAGGATGGGGATGGGACTAATCCCAAAAGCTCCTTTAATCCCTCCAATTGATAGTTTAAGTATATTATTCATAAAATCTACGTATACATTCACGTTCACAAAACAGTACGCCTTTTATATTCCAGTCTTTCTCTTCAATGATACCTAATATTGGTGTCAAAGAGATCAGTGTTTTTATGTTAAATATTATTATTGTCTTGTCAATTCTAATGTTTCCATATTGTTGTCTTCAACATTAGAAGAATATATATATATATAAACATTGCATACAATATATATATATATATATAAACAATACATACAATATATATACAATACATACAATATATATATATATTGTACAACAACTTGTTTTGTATTTACTTTCAACTTTTACAATTATTTAAAACTACGTTTTGTAGCCCTCCCTACTCTTCAGCTGTATATCTTTTCACTCTAATTTTTACATTTTGTACGCTAATGTATTGTGTAAGTTGAAAATAAATATAACTTAAAAATAGTGAAAGTCACGAAACAGGTTTTTATAATTTCAAATGATTATAAAAGTTGACAGGAAGAATAAAACAAAATGTTGTAAGAAATACAATATCGACAGAAAGTGAAATATGAATTGTCAAATTATTATTATTATTATATGTATAAATATATATATATAATACGTTGATCGAAAATCAGATATTCTTGTATTTGCATTGCATGGTTACTTATCATAGATTTTAAAGATTAACACGCTGGCGTGTGACAAGCTCTTTCAAAATATTTTCAAATGATGTACACTCATAGATAGAGTACATATTCTTGTAAATATTGTACTTGTTACGTTAATAAATATTTTATTGATATACCATTGTTCGGTGAAATAATTATCTTACACCAGCTAATAACCAAATTAAATGTTCTTACCTTCTTTTTTTTTTAGTTATTTGTAACAATTTATTTATTTGTCAATATGGTGGACTTCTGCCTCTTTTTTTAATGGGTAATAATACATAGCACTTTAATGTTATTGACTGGAAGTCTGAATTGGGACTCAATTTGTGTCCTGATATTCGTCATGGCAGCAACATATATATATATAGTATTTTAAATACACAAAACGTCCCTGGAAATTATAACATCAAGCATCGATTATAATAGCCTACGTATAAAGGACCATCTGATTACGTTTGACAAGCTATGGTAATATATATATATATATAGTATTTTAAATACACAAAACGTCCCTGGAAATTATAACATCAAGCATCGATTATAATAGCCTACGTATAAAGGACCATCTGATTACGTTTGACAACAAGCTATGGTAAAATATATATATATAGTATTTTAAATACACAAAACGTCCCTGGAAATTATAACATCAAGCATCGATTATAATAGCCTACGTATAAAGGACCATCTGATTACGTTTGACAACAAGCTATGGTAATTTCAACATTTATTTATTTTTCTGGTAAATTTTAAATATCGATATTGGATATCATCTAACAAGAAGATTGGAAAGAGTAGTACTTCTTAATATTATATAAATTGTTCCTCAGTGTATAATTTCCTTTATGGTACATAGATTCATGCTAGAATATTACAATACAAAATCTTGAGATTGCTGGAAATAATGTAATCTTTGTTAGTTGGCTGTTTAATATCGAAACATTTGATCTAGTTTTTGTCCTTTAATTGTAACAGGTTTTATAGTTCGTGATTAACATTGTTGGCTACGATACATGTTCTTATCTGAATTAAAATGATAAAATCTAAGGGAAGTAGGATAATATTAACTATTTTACCACTAGAACGTTGTTTTAATGTTAAAACCAGCTGTGATGTAAAATGCGATAAAAGGACGAAATGCTGCAGCAGTTCAAGAACGTTGAAAAAACTGAAAATGTTTTGTTAATGGGAATGCAAGTTGAAACTTTTCTAGTATTTGTTTCATAAACACATTTCTTATATTCTATCGAGATGGTGCTGTGAATGAAAACATAAATCACTATATATTTTAGCAAGTGTAAAACTAAAACTTTTAATTTAAAATACACTTTTGTCAATTGTAATATTTATTAATGCAAGCACAGTTCTGTGCTGTAAATGGCGAAAAGTAAAACAAATTACAAATAATAAAGAAAAGTTTTACTTAACTTCGGTGACTTTTAAAGTAATGTAATTGTAGTAATCTGTTACCACAATATAAAATTGAAATTAACTATATTTCGTAATATATATAATATAAAGCACAGCCCAACATATAATGGAATATCTCTATTTCTTTGAGTTAAAACTAAGCACACTGTGTATACGTTCTCATGGGCTCTTTCCATACGCACACGTGTGTATTTCACGGTTAAAAAAATTAATGTTGACTTATCTAACCAGATTTACAGAGTAAACAGTTTATGGTCATTGCACTATGATGTGAATAAACGTGTAAGAAGGAACAACTGGTGTATAGTCGCTCTACCTTGGAGCTCCGGATCATTGAGCTCGTGTTGTGCAGGTTTTTTGGACACTGGTTGATGTCATCCAACACTAAATACAGGCATATTATGGTTCTTATCTTCTTTTTCTTTCGTTTGTTACTGTGATGCAATACATATCTGTTCCATTGTGGCAAAATGGAGGACCAGCTATTGTTGTTTCTTACTCCATTTGAAGTTTTACCAATTGGAGTCCTTTCCTTACTAACTTCAATTTACAAATTGTTTTTCTTGACATAAAAGTCATGTGTGCGGTCTTGATTAAGATGAGCCTGTCAGGTAGATTTCTATCATCCTCTTTTCGATGTGTATGTTAAATCTATCTTAAGATGAAGCATAAAAAGGATGAGTTTGTTCTTATACACACACTATAAAGCTAATGATGAGAGTACATACGATTTGCATGCGTAGTGTGCAGGCCTCTTCAATTACACAACAGGTTTTTGTTTATATTGTTTTTCGTAGTGTGCAGGCCTTTTCAATTACACAACAGGTTTTTTTGTTTATATTGTTTTTCGTAGTGCGCAGGCCTCTTCAATTACACAACAGGTTTTTTGTTTATATTGTTTTTCGTAGTGTGAAGGCCTCTTCAATTACACAACAGGTTTTTTGTTTACATTGTTTTTCGTAGTGTGCAGGCCTCTTCAATTACACAACAGGTTTTTTGTTTATATTGTTTTTCGTAGTGTGCAGACCTCTTCAATTACACAACAGGTTTTTTGTTTACATTGTTTTTCGTAGTGTGCAGGCCTCTTCAATTACACAACAGGTTTTTTTGTTTATATTGTTTTTCGTAGTGTGCAGGCCTCTTCAATTACACCAACGGGTTTTTTGTTTATATTGTTTTTAGCGCAAAACTACACAATGAGCTATTTGCGAGGGGAATCAAACCCTGGATTTTAGCGAAGTAAGTCTCTAAACGTACCGCTGGCCA